TGGAGTCTTCCCTATTAATGACTATCTTGGATAATTATATTAAAGACTACTATTGAAAAAAGCAAAGCACAAAAACAAGAACAAAAATGGGAATTTGTTTCTTCTCTTACGTATATTATTGGGTCAAACATAAAATAGAAACCTCCTTGCATCTGATAAAAATTTTGTCTTTCACTCTATTTTACACAGTCCTATTGTAAGTGCATAAAATTCGCAGTCTAATAATTATTATAAGGTGCCAAGATTTTTATCCAACATAACGTTTTATAAAGTAATTTACAAAGATAGAGTTAGAAACAGAAACATTTTATCATCTAAGGAAGTTAACGAAAAATAAAACGAAAAATATATTCAATCTGATGAAAGTTTTGATTTTAATTGCATTTTACATACTCCTTTATGCTATAAATACATAAAATTCACAGTCTAATTATTAATTTTGTAATTTTTGCTATATATTATAATCATGTTCTCACCGTTGAGAACAGTTGCTAAGTATAAGACTACGAATTTTATACATTTATAGCTTATAGAGTTTTGTGAAGTACAATAAAAGACGAAACTTTGATAAAATGCAACATGTTTTTTATTTTATTCTAAAATCAATAAGATACTAACGGGAAGAAATAAATTCCTACACCTGCTCTTGTCTTCATGAATATCATTTATAACGGGATATAAAAACATGGAATGACAGGAGGTATTAGTTGATTTCAATCTTTTTATTGCATTCTTTTCATGCGCTTGATTTATACCGGAAATTATGCCAATACTTTACGTGTACATTTTTCTACTGAATGCAATTTTTTACATTTTTTCGCGCGTGTGCACTCGTCATGATATGGAAATAGTGAAATACAATTAGATGAAATGAGAAACTATTTTTCCAATGCACACATAAAGAATTTCGATACTTGGAATTATTTACGATTAAATGACAATCCTTTCTTTTTTTTCTGCTCCAGATCATTATGGTGTCACGCTGCTATCAGGTGACGAGGATAGAAAACGCGATGTATCTGGAGCGCATATGTACATAGATACAGGGTGGTTCTGAAATCGTGGTACAACCAGTCAGGGGGTGATTCCACATGTAAAAGTAAGTAAAAAATATACAATAACATTTTTTTGCGTGATCCTTCGTTTCCAAGATAATCGAATTTGAAATACACGTGCGATTGAACAGGACTTTGCTAGCGCGTCTGTTCATTATATTCAGTTTCTACTTATTGCCAGCATGAAGCATGCGTTTTAGATTTTAGATGAATCATCAAACTCAATTTTCTGGAAAAAGTAGCTCCATATGAAAAAATTTTATTGTATATTTTCGACTTACTTTTACATGAGGAATCACCTTCTTTTCCGGAAACACTCTGTATATGTACAGTACATCCGAGTCATCCGGTTTAAGTGTATACCTGCTATTATTTCTCTAACTATTGAATGGTACATATGAAAGTTGTTTAATTTTATAGAGTAAATTTAATAGAATATACGAATTTCTTTTTAATTATTATTTACAGAGATTTTAAGGACAATGTAATTTTTTTAAATAGAATTACAATAAATCCTCGATGAGTATTCGAAGGCTCCTCGACACTGAACATTAAATATTTCATAAACTAATGGTCATAGGTGGCTGAAACAAATATCATTGGGTTCAGAATTCCAAGCTGTATCACTATGCTAAAGCTCATTAAAAAATTAACGTTACACCTGGGGACCTCTCCTTGTTAGTGTCGAGGAGCCTTCGAATATTTGTCGAGGATTTACTGTACATATTTTTATTATTGCCGTGTTATTAAGCATTTCAAAACAAATCCAACGATATATTTGAAAATCCTTTTTGAACAATAATTTTTCGGACAACTGTATGAATATTGATTGCAAATGTCAAGTTTGGTTAGCGTATTTTACACGTGACTTGTGATCTGTGAGATCAGGAACAATAAAATAGCCAGCAATATTCATAAAGTTATCTGAGAAATTGTTGTTCTAATAGAACTTTCAAATATTTTTTTAAATTGAATTTGAAATACTTAATAACATGGCGATAATAAAAATATGTAGTTCTATTTTTAAAAATTATATTGTTATTAAAATTTCTGTATGTAACAATTGAAAAAATATTTGACATTCTATTAAATTTGCTCCATAAAATCAAATAACTTTCATACGAAACATTTTTTCACATTTTCAATAGTTAGAGAATATATTGTGTATACCTTTAAAACGGATATACTGTATACATATAAATATTTGTATATGTATAATATCGGTGCGCTAAATCACCTGCGCTTAATCGCTATACATTTACACTTTCGCAATGTCCGTTACGCAAATAATGCAAAACAATACGGCGATCGTAGTCTGATCTATGTTGTGGCGATCACTTATCGGCACACGTATCAGAACATACATTGGTATAAATTATTCGATACACATTTAAGCTGAAACTCGACACAGTAAGCTTTTCGTAAGAAATCCGTGAGTTGTTCGTTCGGAATGAGTTCCGGAATGTAAAACGTGATCGTTCGTAATTGTATAATCGTGTCTGTCCCGTTTGTGCATTTACAATTTCATGGAAATTTATTGAAATCTCTTCTGAAAACACTATTATAAAATGTTCGTGGCAAACGTAAGTCGGTAAAGTAATCTTCGTGTTACAAATTAACTATCTAAAATATAATTTGTATAAATGCTGTTGATAATAATGAAGGGAAACTGGGATTTGATTGATCCATATACCTTAAATTATTTCAGTGGAGACGCACCTTTACGTGAACGGTTGGATTGCAATATATAGTTAAATGTTTTCATCCTATTAACCAGTAAAATGTTTTATGATAAAAAAAAAGTGTGACCTTGAATTTCAGAGTTTGAGTTAATTTTTATAGTACTTTTTTATTGCATAGCTGTAACAATACAGAAGCGTAGAATCACCTCTGGGAACCGCGACGTAACATTTTTTTGTACCCTATAGTAGACGAAAGTATGCAATTTTACTAGGAGACCTACTAGTAGACGAAATTTACGCAATTTTCGAAAACGCATATAAGAAAACGACGTGAAACGTATCGCTTACTCGAATCGAGAGTCGAGCGTAACTTGGGAAATAATCGTATGTGTTGATTAAAGTAGCAACATCCTGTATAATTAAAAACCGTGAAGATATTAAGAAAACTAGCAGAACACGAAGTAATTACCAATCAAATCGACGTAGTTTAACGTGTCGTGTCACATAACGTAGGTATATCTATTAGGTGAGTGCAGAACTTCTGATGTGTTTCGCTCTAAAAGAGTGGACTAATAGTAATTTTAATCATAATTTAATAATAAATAATTAACATGTATTTTCACTAGAAACTTTTATTTTAATTAGCTAATTTTATGGAATAGTATTATCATTGAATTTGTATAACAAAATCATGTTAATAAATTTACAGTTTACCATAGAATGGGATTAATATAATAATTTATTGTTTCCATAAAACCATGACGATTATATCATCTGACAGAAAGTCCATCAAGTTTTCCCACTGACCCAATAGTTTGTCGTTCACATCTTATTAAGCAGTCTTTAATTATTGATGCAACCATCAAAGTAGAGACGTTATGAAGAACGGCATTCTGAGAACGGTACTTTGATAATTCCGACACTAAGTTATAGAACCTTCCAAGCCGTTAAAACATGATCTTATAATTGCATGGAATCCAGCGTCTCAATTGAACGTTCCTCATCTCTCCGCGATAGAATTACACCATACATTTTACAAATTATAATTGCAGTTTCAAATTTTTCAAACCCTTAACAACATTTTTACAAATATTAATTACATTTTTTCATTCATTTAAATTGAAGAATAAAATAATTTCATGCAGTATCTAATTCAAAACGGGTTTTCCATATACAGTTTTCCGTCAACTGATGATGTCGTTCTTCATTAATTATTAAAAATAGTGTTTTTTCAAAGAGATATACTGTTCCAATTTAATTATAGAAACTCTGTAAATAGGTCAGTTAATTTTTCTTCAAGATGGCTGAAAGGACGACAGTCGAAACTTTTGGTTTCACCAGTCATAAGATTACACCACATTTTGGTCACAAAACGTACCTCACATTTTGATTACACACCGTATTCGTCTAATTCAGCTACATCATACTAATTTCCTATTGCCCAAATTGGAAACAAAAGCAAAAAAAACGACAATCTAAATTTATTTTGATATTGTCACAGCTTCGACGACTACTTTCTCCGGCATCTCGAAAAAGAATAAACAAAGCTATTTCCAGTGTTTGTATAATTATCATGGACAATATATCCACTTCAGAAGGAAATGGCTTTCAATAATTCCTGATAAAAAGCGCGAGTATCGCACGGAAAATTGCTGCTCAAACTTCAATTTGAAAACTTTTAGATGTTGCACTATAAAATTTCGGATCACGTTTCAGCCAAACTTTTCAAATTTCACCACACTTTCGAATGTACACTACATAATTACTACACAATTTGACACTTAACATCACTTTTGTGTTTATGCAACGTTAAATCAGTAGGGGTTGCGACGACAATAAAACAATTTATATCGACAGTTGCATGAAACTCCAGATTTCTGTCGTAGCCACATATTGCACTTCCCACGGTACAGTAATAACCGATATCCTCTGTTTCGTATAATAATTTTATAAATTATAAAAATACGATACATTAAGGGACTGTTAAAATATCTATTCAATTAATCACATAAAAACTATGGATTACGTACTGGATTATTTATTTATTTCTAGCAATTTGTTGGTAACAAATTTAAGTTTGCTAATCCAGATCTAACCCACTGATAATACAAATTAATAGTACCACGAAAACAGATACGATAAACTGCACAACTCCCCGATTCTTTATTACCAAATTATAATTTATATAATCAAATGTGTAACTGGTTATTCTAAACAATGACGTTATGTTACAAGCATTCCGTATCGCATAATCAGCACTTACGTATTTACAGCAACCGTTACTTGGTTCCCTGGTTACCCGTACGAAATTGGAAAAGGCACGATCGAAGAGTCACTGTTTAATTTTGTGTTCACGGTACACTCGTCGAACGGACCAAGGAAGAACATGTGCGAACGTGGAAGTGTATGTACACGTACGTTTGTATGCGTCGATCCCTCTGACTACGACGAGGGATGGAGCGTTAAATGAGAAACAAGTCGGCTGTCAACCTTTATTTATAAGAAAGTGTCCAAGGATCGGACCTTCCGCGGATTGGATCGAGGAAGGGGCACCGACAGTAAGTATCCTGCACTGATAGATAAGTACTCTCGCATACTTAGTTATGGTAGGAGTACGGAATACACTTGATCTTCGATTCCCAAGGTCCTTTGTATTAACCGCTTGTATATGGTATTACAGTAGGCCCTCGACTTTCGCACATAATTGGTTCCTGAAAGTGTGTGCGAATGTTGAATGTTCGAAAGTAGACGGACGTAAAAAAATATGCACCAAAAACTGTGTTTTCAAGTATTTATCTATCAATATGTATACATAATGAAGTTAAAGAGGCGTGTTAAGTGCTTTCGGGTGTTTCCTTTATAAAGTTGTCAAGAGTTAGTTGAATACCACCCATTTTTTTCTTTTCTTGATAAAGATTTCTATAACATGCTGTGTCTTTCTCAATTGCCCTACGTACTTGAGATATACGTTCTCCATTGGGATCACATTCTTCCATGATAGTAAAAAATTTGTCAAGATGCGTGAAGGCTTCATTCATATATTTAATTGTTTCTTGATAAAGATAAAAAATAAACACCACGTCTTATTGTATTCGTCGTGCAATACAATAATCGGTGCCGCTCTTTAAGTGTAAATTTCGTTTTGTTGTAAAAGTACTGTTTTATTTAAAGTGTTTTGTAAACCATTGTGTCGTATTAAACGAACTAGTCTAAGTACTCAAAGAGTAGAAACCTTACACGCTTTATTGACTATTCTTTGAACACAGAGGATTAAACAGTTGAATCTTTAAAAATGTGCGAAATAGCGAATTGTGCGAAAGTAGAATGTGCGAAAGTCGAGGGCCGCCTGTATATTGGTTCGTTCGAAAAGTTCGTAGCGTTTCGAGCACAATGTCTTCGTTATCTATTTACTGGACCAAGGGAAAGTATAATCTAGCGAAATTATACTATTTTCTCAGGTGTGGGTTCAATGGTAAACGCACCAAAATGAATGAACACTTATGCGAGAGGCTTGAAATTTAGTAAGAATTAAAGTCGAATTTTAAATGATAATAATCGTAATAAATACTTGGCACGTGAAAATTAAATTTTTTAATACCTTTTTATAAGGTATAGATTTCAATTTGAAAAATTGAAAAAAATTATTAATTAAATTAAAAAGAAAAAATTACAAAATATTAAATATATGAACATTTCTAACCAATAGCAGTGGCGCGATATTGTCTCAATATGAAACAAGTAATTGAAAAATAGCAATATTTAATTATTTGCCTATTTTAACAATTAACTTACGGGTCTCGGTTTTATTTATAATGTTCACTGGTATGTATTCATTTCCTGTGTATCCACCCTATTTCCTGTATAAGTTACTCGTCTTTTTTTATTTTCTATGAGGAATACCCACGAAATGTATGAACAAGCATAAACTCTATTTTCATTACGTTCTATCGAACTTGTAAAAAAATTACACTACTTCGACTGAAAGATTTTCTACCATCTACTCCATTAATTAGACTTCGCCGTATAAAATGATACTCGTTTAGATGATGTTAATATGGAGTAAAATGACGATGATAGTAGTTCTTTGATCTTGATTATATGCCATCGAACAATATACCTATCTCTTGTCATTCAGACTCTCCTAATTTTGCTGACCCGTCTATGGATTTATTCGATGGTGGAGTGTTGTCGTTGAAAGTCGAATTGATGTTCTAGAATCAACTTTCGTTCTACTATATCATTTTCTTGAATAATTTTGATGTGATTGGCAGTAGACTTATTGGCCTGTAAGAAGTTACTTCTTCTGGTGGGATCTGATCTTATACAGCATATATTATTGTATTTACGATGATACACATTTTAAATAGATCATTTTTTATAGCTACAGTACTGGACAAATATTTTAAAAACACCTTTGCTGTAGTTTATTTGAATTAGGGATACCATTGATATTATAATCAACACCTGTTTTGTCTAATTGTTGGTTTTTTGGGTCGACCGTACTTCGATATATTTCCTAAGTGACATTGTTGAACAAATTGCTTTTTTTATCCAGACTACAATAAACTATGGATATTGATGCACCATTAAAGGCGTCTATGATTTTTGGTTTTAAAATTTTGGCAAACTTTTTGCCTTGCACCATGGTAAAATGGGTAAAATAAGGATACAATGCAATATTCTCATCAAACTCATGTTATATTTTATTCTGGTAAATAAAATGTCAGAATACTTTTGTCCAGCTAAATATAGATAAAACTGATTTTCCATTTTGTAATATCTATGTACGTATCTCCGTGTAATTTTTATTTTTTTGTTTTACGCAAGGCTGAAATTTTGGAAAAACGTCACCATAACGACAAACGAAAAGAAAAGCGTTTGTGTCCGAATACATTTTTCCGATGTCTACTGTAAATGTAGGTACATTCTAGAGGTACGAGTTGATCTCTATTATTTACTCCCCATCAACGTATTATTACGAAATAGTAGTTATTCTTTACCATTCCTTGTGCTGTCCCAGGAAAACAGTTATAAAATAAAGTCACTTCCTCGAAACTCTTACTTAATAAATCCCATAAAGAGTATCGAGAATATTTCTGAACAAACTACAACGGTACATTTTACGAGTGCAATAAGAAAAAAATGTTATGCAACGATTATCTATAAACACTGTGTCACAAAGTTTCAAACAAATATTGAACAGAATATAATGTATATATGTAAATAGGTAGCAAGAGATTTTTCATTTTAACACTAGAACTATCAGCGTTAAGAGTATATTAAATTAAATTGTATAATATACCTGTATCTGCAAGATATAATACAGTATATGGTAATATAGTCTAATGTAAATTATACAATAAATTAAAAATCGATTAGAATACCCACGAATGTACCTTAATAATTTCAATAATTGTAAAATAACAAATCTGGGTTCCCGTCATTTTGACGGGTTTGTTCATCTTACCAACGTTCACGTCAGTTTCTCATATCAAAATGTCGTTCCCTGTAAGTCTATACAACTATGCTTTTGTATTATTACTTTTGTATTATTCAATAGAAGATCTATTATCATTACAGTATTTTCGTAATCATTTTAATAACCACAACCGAGGTATTTTAAGTGATTAATTATTTCAACAAATAATTCTTTAAACTGAATGCTTGCAACTAAGTTGTTAAAATACAGTGTATCAACTGAAGAAAGTAATTCGGAGCAGGTCGTAAATGGTTTAAAAGTATCGCAGAACGTAGAATATCGCAACAAACGACCTTGCAATAAGCAAAGAATTATTTGTAGCCATCAGCGTACTTCTCATACAGTAAACACAAGTTATTCACATTTCTATAGTCCAGCGTTTCAATTGTAAGCCGTAATTACTCGGAGATCCTTGATTATCCAAACACCGCTTAACAGAATTCTAAATTACTCGGTGCAGACGGGACAGTTTTTCATGCGAGTTGTCGCAGCATTACCGAGCAGAGAGTAATACACACCTAGCGATAAAGTAACTGTTGCGTATGCACGCAACGCTCGACCGTAAGGCCACGTGCAAGCCATTCCACGTCACACGCATAGAATTGCGGTCATACTCATGGAATACCTCCAAATTGACTGCATTTTATGACACCATGAAAAAATAAACTATATAAAATTATACTTTATAAAATTAACTATAAAAAAAATAGCTTCCAATCTGGAACTATTTTCAAGATATTTAATGTTAAAGTATTAAAAAATTGAACAAAATTGTTAATAGATGCAGTAATAATTAAAGTTGAATTTCCAAATGCTAATTTGACAGTGTTCCCAACCATAGGTCAATTTGGAAAAATACTATTGGATTCCTTGAATCTTCAGCTTTAAAATACAATTTTCAAAAAGAAGGGACGATTTCGGGAACAGTTAAAAAAAATTCAGTTTACCGTTTTGAAACAAGTCTCGATACGTAGAAAATCTGAACGTTTAGTTAAGTCCCCTATGTGATAGATTTTACACTGAATGAAGAACGTTTGAATTGCGTTCAAGAGAGGAGCTACCCCAGCGTTACTTCTGTTCTTCGGTCTCGCTTCATCCCTACGATAAAACGCGCAGTGTACTATATATGTCTATGGGGAAAAGTGGTTCAAGTACTGAAATAAATGTTAAATCGAATGTTAATATGGCCTAAAGTTGAATAACTCCCGATACCAAGTGGTAGGAGGTATTGTTTTTTGTCTTGTTAACGGAAGCCGAGTTTGCTCGTGAGGGTATATCAGCCGACAACACGCGAATAATCGGGCCTCGTTGCAATGTACGTCACCCGTCGTTAAAGGGATAAAAATGGCAGAAGTTATTCGTGCAGATATAATTACCCTAGCATAACTGCCAATAAATAATGTAAAAAAAGAACGTCGTACACGTAAAATGTAGGTTCAAGAATCAAAATATGGGACTCGTCAAATAAAGCGCTTCTAAAATAACTATTTACAACTTTCGTAATTGAAATGGCGTTAGATGATTCAAAAACATTGAAATATCTTTTACGGTTTTGAAAGATATTTTAACTTAAATTTCTAAACATCAATGTTTCTTTTTTATGTACTCGCTTGTGTTTACTAATTTTACTAATTTATCTCTTTAAAACTAATTATCTTGAAATGCTTTTGTATATTCGTATATGTCATCTGGAAATTAAAGTACAACTTGTGCGTAAGTATACGCCCGCCACTCGATGTGAAACACGCGTGATCAGGATGACAATTATTTTCCCAGGAAGGAAATATAACTCGAGGTGATTAACCCAGCAGTTAAAGGGACATGTATGGCTTATACTTGTTGCATTATCGT